AACGGATAAAAGGAAGTACTTCTTCACCCAAAGAGTGATTAACACATGGAATTCACTGCCACAGGAAGTGGTGGGTGCTACAAGCATGGACGGCTTCAAAAGGGAATTAGATAAGCATATGGAGCAGAGGTCCATCAGTGGCTATTAGCCACAAGGTATAGCTAGGGGCTCTGGGGCAAGTGATGCTCTGTCTTCTTGGTGCTTGGGGGGGGGGCCAACAGTGGGAGGGCTTCTAATGTCCTGGCCCCACTGCTGGACCTCCTGATGGCACTGGTATTTCTGGCCACTGTGTGACACAGAGTGTTGGACTGGATGGGCCTTTGGCCTGATCCAACATTGGCGTCTCTTATGTTCTTATGTTCTTATGTAGAGTTGGAAGGGACCTTGCAGGTCATCTAGTCCAACCTCCTGCACTCTGCAGGAGCATAGCTGAAAGATAGCCCTACAACACACACACTCTGTCCCATCTACCTCACAGGGTTGTTGTGGATATAATACGGGGGAGAAGAGAATGATGTGAACTGCTTTGGGGAGAAGGGCGGGATATAAACAAAGTAATTAAATAAATAAAAAGATTCTGGGCAGGACTGCCCAATGGTGGGAGAAAAGGTCTGAAAGGAAAGGCGGCATTTAGCAGATGGGACGAGCTGGGGGCCGGGGGACCCATGTACGTTTCCCCAGCAGGCCCGGGAGGGGCAGAGCTCCCGCATGGGACACACGACACCCCTGGGTCCAACCCCCAAGGTCTCCAGACGAAGGCTCCCTGGCAGAAGGCAGCAATTTCCGGCTGCCCAAACTTAGAATGCAGGCCGAAGCTGGAGGGACCCAGGCTGTGACCAAGGTTCCCTCTAAGCCGGGGGTGGCCAGACTGGCTTCACGTAACAGCCGAACAGAATAAAGGTCAGATGTCTGAGAGCTGCCAAGACATGAACAGACATCACACGCATGTCTTTATTGCAAAATATGCAAATTTGCTTTTTATGAACATTAAATTAGACTGTATGAAAGAGTCCCGAACTGCAGTTTGGCCACCCCCGCTCTAAGCTGTGGAGTCTTGCGAGCAAAAATCCTACTTTGTGAGCTCCTGGCACTAAAGTTGTGAGCGAGGGATGTGGCTGCTGCACAAATTAGTCTGCTCTGGAGACCCATCCTTCCTGGGCCAAGACAAAAAGGTGTGAGCCGGAGGCTAAAAAACTGAGAGCTAGCTCACACTCACTCAGCTCAGAGGGAACACCGGCTATGACTCCGCAGAAGGCAGCTCCCCACTGGACAAAGGGACAGGTCCAGACCCTTTGCCATGGGATGGGCTGCGCTGCTTTCTGGAACCAATGGGAGGGGCCACCTCAGCAGGGAGGGAGGGCTGCCAACCTCCAGGTGGGGCCTGGGGACCTCCGGACTCCAGAGAGATCTGTTCCCCCTGCAGGAAACGGCTGCTTTGGAGGACGGACATGGCATCAGACCCCACTGAGGGCCCTCCCCTCTCTAAGCTTTGCCCTCCCAAGGCTCCACCCCCAAAGTCTCTAGGGCTTCCCCAACCTCGAGTTGACGAGCCAGTTTCCCTCTAAGCTGAGTTAGCGTGAGCCAGCTCAGTTTTTTAGCCTCCGGCTCACACATTTTTGCCTTAGCTCGGGAAGGATGGGGCTCCAGAGTAGAGATGTGAAGGCCTGGGGAAAAAACGGAAAAATTCGGGGGAAAACCCCATTTTTTTCCCTGAAGCCTTTCCCCCCCCCCCCCCAACAACTAA